AGAAATTATACCTTGCATTGCATCATTATTTTATACATCTATCCGAGGAAATCATTTTTTGCTTATCTTCGATGTAGTGTTAAATGATCCACGCAACGTATTATAAACATTGTCACATTTTTTATTTCATTTGCTGTTATATTTTCGTTTTCTTGATCTGCTTTTATTCGATAATTCATTGTTACTTCATCTACACTTACACTTTTATATTTATCAGCTTCTACATTTTTACTTGGACAATTATTGAACGTCTTTTAATCAGAATCAAAATTACCATTACGATGTGCCAGTGTTGCAATCCTTTCTTTCCAGTTCCTGCTGCTTACCAGAATGGGTAGTGCGTACAAATCTTCCTTAAATTAAACATATTCAGGAGTAATGATTTCTTATATTTACGCGAACACTACACATTGAAATAATACTAATTTTTACGGAATTTATCGCGTATATTTAACTTTTTTTAACCGACGTTTCGAGAGCTTTACAGCACCCATGGTCACGGGAAGGACTGAGATGTTCAACGTCCTCCTACATAGGACAAACTAAAAGATCAATTAAAACCCGCGTTAAAGAACATATAGCTGATGTGAAGAATCGACGCTCCGGGAAGTCTGCAGTCTGTGAACAAGTACAGGATCGCCCCCGTCACTACATCAGATTTGATAGACCACAAATCCTCGCTAAAGAACACCGATTCCTTCCAAGGATGATTCGCGAGGCTATTGAAATCAAAAAACATCCTAATTTCAATAGAGAAGATGGCTGGGTGCTACCATCTGCTTGGGATCCTATAATAAATAAAATTAAATCCCAACCCAAGCATACAACTACAAGACTCCATGATACCATAAGTTCATACTGTGTAGATCGGAACAAAAGTTAAATTTTAATCTATGGTAACCGCGGTTAACTATGACAGCTGGACGTTGAACATCTCAGTCCTTCCCGTGACCATGGGTGCTGTAAATCTCTCGAAACGTCGGGTAAAAAAAGTTAAATATACGCGATAAATTCCGTAAAAATTAGTATTATTTCAATATTCAGGAGTATCTTCTTATTTTTAACATGTCAAAAATGGCTATTCCGCAATATTGTTTTAACGAGTTTGCAATATTTAAAACATAAGTTTAAATTGTGTTTCTTCGTTATTATATTGGATAACATTTTTTGACGCGTTTACTAAAGTTGTTGTGTTCAGGGCAACTTATCCGGTTTCAATTTGGTCACTTCCACTAGCAATTTCGCCAAGTCTCGTATTTTATGTGAAGTCAATACAGAATGTGTCTCACCATATTTTTTTTAAATAGTGTACTTCAAACATACAAAAGATTTTATCTTTCTATGTCATCAACGATATCGTATCTGGTTCTTACTTACTTACTTATCTTCACGCACAATCCCTAACGGGGTAGTCAGAGAGAACAGATCGCCAAGTGTCACGATCCTTACATACCTCTTTCGCTTCTTTCAGGTTCATTAACTTCTTCATACATGCACGTCTAGGTATCCGAGTACTCTTGACCTTCCCCTCTTCGAGCAATTTGCTCACATGGTCTTCGAAAGTTAGTCTCGGTCTACCTCGACACCTTTTAATATTTACTTTCGCTCTATATATTTTCTTCACCGTTCGGTCTTCACTCATTCGTTCAACGTGCCCAAACCATTGGAGTACGCCCCTATCAATTTTTGTGATAAGGTCATCTTTCAATCCTGCCATATTACGAATCTCTTCGTTTCGCTTTCGATCGGTTATGGTAACGCCACACATTTTACGAAGAGATCGCATCTCCACTGCATTCAACTTGCTTTTATGCTTCTTCTGGCATACCCAAGTTTCGCTGCCATATAACAAAGTCGGTACCAACACTGCGTTATGTATTGCAAGGCGTGCACTCTTCACCACGCCTTGCCTTTTGACTAATGCATTCAGGGCACCATTGACTTTGTTTCCGGCAGCGACACGCCTATCCACATCTAAATCACATCCTCCATCCCGGCTGAAAGCACTCCCCAAGTATACAATTTCATTTACCTGTTCTAGACATTCCTGATTTACCCATATTTCACATTTCATTCTCTCTTCGTCCTTTTCAAATACCAGAACCTTAGTTTTATTAGCATTCAAACGGAGACCTTTAGTTTCACATTCCTCTTTCATACACGTGACTAATGCCTGCAGTTCTGCTTCTGATGGTGCAATAAACACTGCATCATCAGCATACAGCAGACAATTTACTTTAATATCACCCAATTTCACACCCAAACACCTATTTTTCAGCTTCTGTAAACAGCTGTCAAGATACAGTATGAACAGTCAGGAAGACATGACACAACCCTGTTTTACGCCCGCTTGGACGCTAAACATGAGTGACAGGTCATGCCCTACCCGCACACAGGCTTTACAGTCATAGTAAAGTGACTGCACAGCCCTTAACAATCGACCATCCACACCATATCCCGGCAACAGTTCCCACATTTTCTTCCTTATAACCTTATCAAATGCTTTCTCCAGATCCACAAAAGCACAGAAAATCCTCTGGTTAACACTCAGAAGCTTTTCCGTGATCATGCGGAGAGAAAACATTTGATCCGTGCATCCTCTTTCAGGTCTAAATCCGCATTGTGCCTCCCATAATAATCTTTCCGATTTCTCTTGTTATCTGGTTCCATGAGCAGAAACACGTTTCGTGGTCACTTGAAAGATAAGGCCAAATTGGCTTCTAAAAATCTTGGCGTGCTCAGCATAGCGGGACAGTATTTCATGCCGGCACACCGCCTGCAATTTTACAAGGCGCAGGTTCGGCCGCACATGGAATAATGTTCCCATCTCTGGGCTGGGGCTCCCCAGTACCAGCTCCTTTCACTTGACCGCATCCAGCGCAGAGCGGCTCAAATCGTCGACGACAGAGTGCTTTCCGATCGGCTCGATTCACTGGCGCTGCGAAGAGATGTTGCATCACTTTGCGTATTTTATCCCATCTATCACGGGGAGTGCTCTGAGGAATTGTTCGAGTTAATCCCAGCCGCCAAATTTCGTGAAGGCACTACGCGGCAAACGTCCCGATACCATCCACACCATCTGAATGCTTGGCGGTCCACCACTGTACGTTTCACAAGGAGTTTTCTTCCACGTACAACCTCTCTGTGGAATAGTTTACCAGCGGCGATTTTTCCGGACCGATAAGACCTGGGGACCTTCAAGAAAAGAGCTTACTCCTGCAATTCCCCTGGTGTTGCGGTTGATCATGGGCGGCGGTAGTCACTTAATATCAGGTGAGCCGCATGCTCGTTTGTCCCCTCTTCAAAAAAAAATCACGCACAAAAACCAAGTAAAACCTTATCACTGCTCGCGAGTGTCCCTATTACTTTGCAACTTTTCGCCTTCCTACGTCACGACAGACTTTCCATGGTTACTTAGGGCTATCCATAAAGAGTAAAAAATACATTGCAGAGACACAAGGTAAGTAAGTTACTTAGGTAAGGTAAAGTAACTACCTATTCTGACTATGATCGACTGACCATATTTTCGCTACAATGTGAGTTCTGTGATGTCCAACGTATGCAACTTGCAAGGCTATTCATCGCGAATCGCGATGCTTGGCTTGGAAAAATAGGTATGTAGGAGGCAGCAGAGGGAAACTTTTCCGTACCGATACGATCTCCAAAAAAATAACTCTATTTTAAAAGACAGGCAATGCACCTGTAGTTGTTGGTGTTGCAGTTCTTCATGGGCGACTGTTGTCATTTACCATCAGGTGAGCCGCATGCTCGTCTGCCCCCTTTTTTATAAAAATTGCAACTACACAAAGTTTAAAACTTTATTAAACTACGTTTGTATAAAAAGGGTTATTATAATATTAAGGAATTTATGGATGACATTAACCCCCGGGAAGGGTGATCGCTACCAAGCTATTTCTAATTTTGTTTATGATGTTAATTGCAAAAAAATGGTAGCGCTGGGTGTTTCGCTGGTTCTTTCCAGGCAGAAGTTTTTTTTCCGAACCAGTGGTAAATTAAAGAGAAAAGTGACTTTCAATATGTATTATTTCTAATCGATATTGAATAAAAAAGTTTATGTTTCTGTTTCCATTTCAAATAAACTCTGGCTTCTAAATTTCTTTAGATGGTAATGTGGTAGGTCAAATAGCAGTGCCTGCACTTTTGTGTTCCAGTATGATCAATATAGAGAACCAGCATAATGACAGGCTGTGGGGCATTGCATCTTAGTCCTCTGAGATGACAGAGTTAATACGACCGAGGCACCTGCAGTTTTGTTTGAATGACTAAACAACTTTTTCTGCCACACGGCGCCACATAAAAATAAGGTGTTATATAATATTTCACAGATTTCATAGTGGGGAGGTTAATTTGTGCGAAGAGTTTAAGATTAATGTTTCTTTCTATACTAATAGATTAAAAATAAATAAACCAAACCACAGATATTCATAAAATTAGGGTGATCGCTACCAAGCTATTTCTAATTTGTATTGTGTTGTTAATTGTTAAATTACATTACTGTGAGGTCTTATTTAAAAAAATAGTTCCGCTGGGTTTCTTGCTGGTCCATCCCAGGACAGAGGTTTATTTGGCGAACTAGTGGTAATGAAAAAAAAATGCCTTTCAATAAGTATTATTTATAATCCGTATTAAATAAAAAAGTTACTGCTTCTGTTGCTGTTTCAAGTAGAAAAAATAAAAAAGAGATAAAAATATGCAAGAAATGAAAGATCAAGCCACTGAGGCATAATTTTGTGTATTTATATAACACTCTAGAAACTGGTAAACGTTTTTGTAAAACAAACATCTCAATTAAATGACATTGTGTAACAAAAAACTTCACCCCAGTGTCATCTAGCGACATCTGGTGAACGGAAGATTATTATCTCTCATTGGTTGCTTGTGTCACTAGAAGCCAATTACCATGAATTAGGCTATAAGTTCGTTTATCACTTTTGTTATACAGAAAAAAAAGTTTGAAAAGATATAGAAACAAAACTTACTTGTGTCCTCGTCAGCCAGCCTTGGCTTCTTCTTATTTTCTGTATCACTTTCTGTAGATAATTTTCGTTTGTCACATACATTTGCTCCACCAGTCAGTAGGTCATTTAGGTCCTTGTTCAGCTGTAATTTTATACTCTCAAAGATTTCTGGAAATTAAAAAAAAACATGTCAAAATCACTCACACGCGGTAGAAGTGAAACCTTCAGAAAAAGAGACCGAGATAATAGGAAATATTGTATACTGTATTCTATCTCACTCTCTCGCAGGCTAAATCATATATATATATATAAAAGAAAATAGAAGGATTAGTAAGTGGTGGGGGGGGTTACCCCCTTAAGGTTTTTTTTATTTATATATATATATATATATATATATATATATATGTAGGTGTATGTTTGTCATAGATGTATATGTTCGTCTCTTTTTAGTGACGCTTTTTCGTTTAATCGAATTTCAAATCACAAAGATACCAAAGAAGTTTTCACTTCAAAAAGAGAAACAAATTAGTTCATACAACACTATGTGGCAGTATATAAGTTACATATAAAAACAGTCATAAAAACTGCGTACACCTGGTGCATCAAAATGTACAAGCCACCTTGGGCAAAGAATTAGAAATTGAATTGTTTTTACCCGAATGCCAGGGAAGGGTTATGTTTTTAGCGCGTTTTTTCTTGTATGTTTGTAAATTTCGTTATTACCTCATATCTTCCAAACGCCTGGATGGATTTTAACAATTAAGGTATCGTTTTATTCGTCTTAATAACCCAAGTGTTCTTAGGCAGATTTTTAGCGCAAAATAATAATACGTTATTAAAAAAATAACTAAACCTATAGGACCTCAAAAACCTAATAGGATATCAAAATAAAAGAAATTAAAAGGGGATTACATACATATATATTTGTATTAGGCTCTCAGCTCATAATGTAATCTGTCAAACCGAAGTAGATTTTACTTTGTTTATAGTTTATTTTTATTTTGTTTTCTTTACTCAATCTTGTTTCGGTCTTTTTAGTGCATTACTTTTAAATTGTCTTTTTTGCAGTCGGGTTTTTGATTACTTTAATTATTTATTTTATATAATATATAATATATATAACAACATACATATTTTTTGTATAACTGAACATTGGTTCAAAAATTATAACTACAAACATACGCTGTTATTCCGTGCGAGCATGGTCCTCCCCGGTTGAGCCAAATCATTCGTACTACAACCATAATATGGTTGCAGCATAGCTTCACCTCATAATTAACCATCAGAACAATTGGAAATTAAATATTTTTTTATAGGATTAGGGTGACAAACGAGCACACAGTCCACCCGATGGTAAGTGGTTGCTGCGACCCACAGACATCTACATTTAAACCTCGATTAAGAATCAAAATGCAGCCGCGTTGTCACCCTTGAGGACTAAGATGGAATGCCTCGTTTCCAGTAAAACGGGTCTCCAGTTCTCTACACTCACCATACGAAACATAGCAGCATTAAGCTACTATTTTATGCTGGTATTCTGTGAGATCGTGGTCCTTCCCTGGTTGAGTCGACCCATTCGTGCTGCAACCACAATATAACTGCAGCGTGGCTCTACCACGTATAATTAACTTTATTTACTACAAAATAAAGATTAAAAAGAAAGATGGATAGAACACTACGTACACTGCCCGCAAACATATGCACCAAAATTATTGGTGGCTTACAAACGATTTTAGGTGCATATAGGTGCGGGTAAGTTACAATAACTTGTAACTGATTCGAAGACCTGATTTGGCATTACCATTCAATGATAAAATTAATAGATAATACATAGATTATATCTAATTATAAAGTTTATAACGTAAATACATATTATCTAAATTAGTTTTTATTACTTTTTGTATCATATACCTTTAAACTAGCAATTCTTGTATATATAATATATAATCGGAATCTCGGAAACGGCTCCAACGATTTTCATAAAAGGGGTTTCGGGGGCAATAAATCGATCTAGTTAGGATTCATTTTCAGAAAATGTCCTTTTGTCAGTGTTTTCAGGCAATAAAAAAGTCTTTCAGTTTGTTTGTTCAGTTTTTTCTATTATGTTAATAAGATCAAAAAATATTATTCATGTTTCATCAGTATGTAATTTGTATCTAAATATAATTTCCAAAAAAAAAATACCGAGGATAGCTCGGTCATCCATGTACTTTTTAAATAATAAGAGTGATAAAGGAGCACACAATTCACCTGATAATAGGTGGATGTCACGGCCCATAGTCACCTACATCTACCCTCAATCAAGAATCAAAATTCAAACCTTGAAACTTTTAAACATCACCCTAAACAAAAAGAGCTGGAGATCTTCAAACGGCTGAAAAGATTTTATTGATTTATATCTAAGAATACTTTCGATTAAGACATCTTTAAAAAAAAACAACTAAATCTAAATTGTCACCATCCACTTGGAAGCTACGATGCCACAGACAGACACATAGATATACATATTAAACATACAACACCCCTCTGTTTGCGTAGGGGTTTAAGAAACGTCTCCTGTTCTCTACCCTCAGCATTGCTCGAGTCACAGAATACCAGCGTGAAATAGTAGCTTAATGCTGCTGTGTTTCGTATGGTGAGTGTAGTGAACCGGAGACCACCTTTACTGGAAGCGAAGCATTCCATCTTAGTCCTCACGGGTGGCAACGCATTTGCATCTTGCATTCTTAATCGAGGATAGATGTAGATTCCACACAGCAACCACTTACCATCAGGTGGACTGTGTGCTCGTTTGTCATCCTATCCTATAAAAAAAAGTCACAGTAGGTCAAGCCGACCCGTTCGTGCCGGAGCTACACGAAGCTAGCTAAAATAGTTGCAGTATGGCTCTGCCAAGTGAATTGTTAGCTTGTTACTCATGTCACTAATTGCAACACTCAGTAGTATTGTAAAAGCAATCGCTAATTAAGTTTGCACTCATAGTTCAATTAATTAGTGAACAACAAACATCACCATGTCAGCCGAATCTGGAAATTCTCGGAATTTCGAACACCGCGCCGTGATAAATTCCTCGTAAAGAAGGAAAATAATAATAATAAAAACATTTATTCATTACCACCAATAAAGTTACAGTGAGCGGTACATACAGAAATAACCAAAATTACATAGTGTAGTAATGAATGGGCTCTAGCTCAGCATAACAGCCTGGCCAGAGGACATTCGCCGTAGCGAAAATTCACGCGGCGCGAACGGCGAGGCGTCTAGCGACTAAAACAAATTTATAGAAATGTATGGAGCAAGAGTCGGGCGGCAATCGCGGCGGCAGACGCGGCGAATAGTATAGGGAACAAAATATTTTAGTTGTTTTCGCCGCGAAAAATGCCGGGCCGACAAAAACAACTTAAAATTCTATCCGCATTGACTTTTATCTCCAATTCTGGTTGAATATTAACAAGAATATAATCGCAGGTTTCAACACTCATTTTGGTATTTACTCGAAATTTTTTTCTAGATGCATTCTATTTGTTGTGGAATTCTCCATCTATAACCCGATTCCTATTCAAATCAAGTACTCCGCAATCTCATCCAAATATTATGTCTTGAATCAAAAAACAATTATTTTCTAAGCAATTATCGAGATAACTTTGATAAAGACATTTCACTCTCGGCCTATCTGGTCGCGGCGGCAAACGTGACTTCCCGTAGCCCTCAAATCGCGCCGCGCGAATTTTCGCCCCGCCTGTCGCTTCGCCGTTCGCGCCGCCGATCCCCGTGGCCAGACCGTAAATGTTGCAGTTGCCTACAACACTTATTCTGCCAGCGCCCAACAAATGAAGGGTACAGTACGCGCGCATCCCTGCTTATATTACATTTAATCACAACTGTTCCTATTAGAGTACATCTCGTGGTTTCCCAAGTATTAGCGAATATTAGCCAGTTCAAATTAGTAATTAAGAAATATTTTTAATTATCATAAATTTTTTCCATAAAATTTACATTTTTAATAATTATTACAACAATACAACTAATAGTAACAATAAAGTATTAAATAATATTTACTTTACTGAGCCTAACTTATTTGAGCTTATAAGTCTACTACCGCCTACTGGCAATGTTTTTTTATTTTATTTATAAAACGGCCCTGCAAATTAGTAAAAATAATTCGATTATGGCAGTAATTGTTCCCATTGATTGTTAAAATACACCGAAAGACATTTTTGAAGAGATGTCTGACCTTCAGGATTCTGCGCCTTTATATACGATGGTGAAAAAATGGGCCCGAATATTTCAACAAGAACGACAGAGCTGTGAAGAGTCTTCGCCCGGACGAGGGTCGTTTTCAGTAAAGACGACCCTGTCACGATACTGACCGAAGAAAACATCCGAAAAGTCGAAAAATCGTTCTTGCCGGCCGAAAAAATTAAATTCTGGCAGATTGTTGAAGAACTGCATATTAGCAAAGAACGATTTGGAGAAATTTTACATGAACATTTGAATATGAGAAAAATTAGCGCGTGCTGGGTACCGAGAATGCTCACACCGCTCAACATGCAACGTCGACTCGCAAGTTGCAAAGATTTTTTGGAGCTAGTCGGCGATAACAAGGAAGACATTATAGGTTATATTAGCGGTCAGCCGCCGTAGAGTCTACATCACCTGTGGATGCCTCGTGTAGAGTCGAAACACGTGTCGTATTATCGTCGTATTATGGTGTGTCTTTCCCGGAATAGTGGTGTTGGAAGTAGTGGTGCCGAGAGTAGTGGTGCTGGGACTAGTGGTGACGGAGTTAGTGCATGCAATTGAGGGAGGGCGGGAGATGCTCTTCAATCCAGGTAAGACATATCATTGTATTTAGTTAGCGGAAGGTTGTAAATTAATTAATATTTTTATTAGGAAGACATTTGGCAACGGATAGTCACCGTGGATGAAACATGGATTCGCCAATATGAACCGGAGTCCAAACAAGAGTCCATGCAAGGGATAAAAAAAGGCCCGCCGAAGAAATTCAAGCTGGAAAAGTCGTCGTCTAAGCTAATGGCGACTATTTTCTGCTTATATATAATTATGCTTATCAACTACCTACTCAGGGGAACTATGATGAATAGCCAATATTACACCAATTTATTGAGTCAGGTTCGCGAGGCTATTGTACATAAACTACGTGGGAAACTGAAGCGCGGAATGCTCTTTCTGCAAGACAACGCGCCCGTTCACACACATGTTGCGAGGCAATGCTTGAAAGACACGGGGTTCTCAGAGATTGACCAACACGCTGTATAACTCAGACCTAGCACGAAGCAGTAGAGGCTTCCTCTCACTTAAGAAAGGGTTTTGCATGCAGGTTTCCTCACGATATTTTGCTTCACCGCCGAGCACATGGTAAATCAGCACTTAAAATTGCAATTAACAACTTCATTAGTGCCGGCGGGGATCGAACCCTGGTTGCTCGCGTACTGTGAAACTTACAGCGAGCGCTTAGCGCCTGGGCGACCACGGCTCTAACTTTATGTCTATGCCATGCATTATTTTATATAAAATTGATATGTTGTTCTAGCTCTCTACACTATTCAGACCAGAAATGCAGTGCAAAGTGAAGTAATCTTGAAAGCATGAAACTTCAGTGTTCTGAGGAATTGTTCGGATTAATCCCAGCCGCCAAATTTAACGAATGCACTACGCGGCAAACCTCCCGATACCATCCACACCATCTGGATGCTCGGCGGTCCAGCACTATACGTTTCACTAGGAGTTTTCTTCCGCGTACGACCTCTCTGTGGAATAGTTTACCACCGGTGATTTTTCCGGACCGATATGACCTGGGGACCTTCAAGAAGAGAGCTCACTCCTTTCTAAAGGGCCGGCAACGCACCTGCTATTCCCCTGGTGTTGCGGTTGCTCATGGGCTGCGGTAGTCACTTAACATCTGGTGAACCGTATGCTCGTTTGCCCCCTCTTCTATATAAAAAAAACTTCAGAGCGATACACAGCAGTGCAAGCATGGCTATTTGATAGCAGATAGTGGTACTTAATCAGACAAACGCCTATACAGGAAAGGCTTAGGGGGTTAAGAAGTTCACTTCCCTTTAGGATTCGTGACGCTAACTCGGTGTCTATGTTTAAAAGACTTGTTAAAGAGCATTATCATTTACACCATAATGATTAATTCGTGATGTGTAGATACTCATATATGTTATTATATGTATTATATTATATTTGTATTTTATATTTATGTGTATATCATCATCATCATCATCATTGCAGCCCTTCACAAGTCCACTACTGAACATAGGCCTTCCCCAAGTAATGCCACAAAGCACGGTCCTGAGCCATGTATCCATCGACTTCCTGCATGTCTTACCAGGTCGTCACTCCATCTAGTGGGGGGTCACCCTACACTACGCCTACCGGTACGAGGCTGCCACTCGAGAACCTTTCTTTCCATTCGGTTATCGGTTCTTCGAGCTATATGTATATATATATATATATATATATATATATATATATATATATATATATATATATATATGGGTGTGTATGTACGTATGTGTGTATATTTGGAGGTTTGTATAGTTGTATTGTATGTATATTTTAATAAAGTGCACACTTTGACTACCTCTATTTCCTTCAACTATCCTTCAATAGGCCTGCTGGAAGAAATTTCTTTATGGAATAAGCAGTGCCTTTGTACATAATTTTGTTTTTTTACCATTTTCCTATCAAAGTATGTGTGTACATAAACTGTTAAATAAATAAATAATAAATAAATAAATAAGAAGGGGTTCATTCATCCTTCTGCTGGGCAAGGACCGCTTTCATTTCTAAGAGGAATAGATTTAAAAAAATCTATAAGGCAATTCATTTGCTTACCAGTGTGATTCTCCTCGGTTTGCTTCTCCGACGTTTCATGAGTTTCGATCTCGTCGTCGGTATTTGATTCAGATTCTAATTTAACCCCCACCACATCTGAAATCAAATCAGCTTTGTACATATTTGTAACCACAAGTAAAAGTTAAAAAATAAAGTCGAGTGCAATTTGTTGGCAATATTATTAGGTCCTATATTAACACGCTATTTATAAGCTTCGCGTATCGTATCTATCTATGTATGTAACAGCAAAACGCCGCGCTAGTCGCTATTTGTGAAGTTTTTAGGAGCTTATCTGCTTGTTATTAAAAACATATATCAACTAATAAAAAATCTATTTAATTTCTACATAATCTTGATTCCATAATAGCCAATTCCAATTTTTTAAAAGGAGTAAATACTTGATGACAGATTCATCAAGTATTACTACAACTAAACCGCAGAAATGCGAAATAATTACTGATACATGATAGCATGTATCTCCTCATAAAGTAAAAACTATTTTATTTTGCGATTAACACTAATGGATAGGCAATTTAATAATAAACACTTTGATCTATTTAATTTTTTCAAATGACTAAAATTCGATTTTATAAAGAAAATATTGTTACGAGCTTGAGGTTCGTGACAATAAAAATTGCCGATAGAATTACCTAAATTAACACTTTAATTTTCTTTACACAAATTAAAGTTAAAAACACTAATAATTAATCACACTGATTCACTTTATTCCGCTCCGAAGCTTCGCTTGTCTCGCCAACTTCAATACTTCCCCGATCGCATCTTGCAGCGCCTATAAATATAAATTAGCACCGAAATATACAGAATATTCAAGTAAACACGCGCAAGGTACCGAGATTTCGAGTTTCAACTTCAAGAAGTTTAGTTCTTCGGTTCGAGACTAGATGGCGCTAGTGACGTCGACTTACGCGCGTAACACTGCCCCCTCCTAAGACATGCTCGTCCCGAGCATTATCGGTCCCATAATAACGCGCCAGGCGATCCACATGGACGATTTAGGAGTCCCTCTTGCACCTTTCTGTATACGGTAGGTTACATCATTGATCCTGGTCACAATCCGGTACGGGCCGTCCCATTTAGCTTGAAGCTTAGGAGATTTCCCTTTGCTGCGGACTGGATTGTGCAACCACACTAGTGAACCTTCGTCGAACCCTTTGTTGTTCATTTTGCGGTCGTACCGGGTTTTCATCTTTTCAGACATTTGCTGGCCCGATTGTCTGACGTGCTCATAAACGTCATTCATTTTGTTCCGCAAGTCATTTGCATAATCGATTATACTGCGTGGTGCATCAGGTGGTATCCCGGTGATCAGGTCTGCAGGCAGCCGTAATTCTCTTCTAAAGTTTGCGAAAGCTGGTGTCACTGCTGTACTTTCGTGAACAGCGCTTCGATATGACAACAAAAACGGTTGTATGTGCTTGTCCCAATCTCGTTGCCGATTGTCTACAACTTTTGCTAGTACTCTCCAATGTCTGATTAAATCGTTCTACCATTCCATCAGATTGCGGGTGATAAGAAGTCGTCGTCGTCGGCAAGTTTCCTGGAATATTTGAGACTCAAAATTCCTTCCTTGATCGCTGTGAATCTCTAAAGGTACTCCAAAACGACAGAAGACTTCATGAACTAGTTTATCTGCAACTGTTGAAGCTTCTTGATTTGGAATGGCGAAGACTTCTGGCCACTTAGTGAAGTAATCCATCACAACCATGAAATACTTGTTACCGCTTTCACTCTCCGGAAACGGCCCCGCCACGTCAATGGCTACTCTCTCCCATGGTGCACCAATATTGTACAACTTCAATGCACCTCTACTACGAGTCTGAGGTCCCTTTACAGCCGCACAACTTGTACATTTGCGACACCAGTCCTCGACATCGTTTCGACAGTGGACCCAATAAAACCGTTCTCGGATCTTCAGTAGAGTTCGTTTAACTCCCAGATGGCCTCCGGAACAATCATTATGGTACAGCTGTAGAACATCCGGTACTCTAGCTTTAGGGACGACTATTTGCAAGTGACAGCTGTCTCCCCGAACATTTTCCCATTTACGGCACAGAACTCCATCCTGAAGCAGTAAGCTGTCCCATTGGGCACAATAGCTTTTAGTGGTCGAACTCATCGCTGAGACGTCGCTCCACTTGGGCTTGGGAGCACTGGCCTTCATCCATTCCAGAATCGGCTTGATGTCCGGATCTTCCTGCTGTGCATGTTGTAAGCTGTCCTTCCACTCGTTGCTGAGGTGGTCTGTCCTGAGCATCCTCACGGATACCACTTCCTTACTTTCCTGCCTAGTACAATGTTTGCAATCTTCAGGACAAGGTCTTCGTGATAGTGCATCTGCGTTGCCATGAGATTTCCCGCTGCGATGTTCGATCTCAAAGTCGTATTCTTGCAGTAGTTCAATCCACCTCGCAACTTGTCCTTCTGGATTTTTAAACTGCAATAGCCATTTTAGTGCAGCATGGTCAGTTCTTAAGCGAAATTTTCGCCCCAGAAGATATTTGCTAAAATGCTGCAACGACTTTACCACAGCTAGCAATTCGCGTCTTGTGACACAATAGTTCCTTTCCGGTTTCGACAACGACTTGCTGAAGTACGCTATCACGACCTCTTGGTCACCATTTCGTTGAGACAACACACCGCCAAGTCCTATATCACTTGCGTCTGTGTCAACTATAAATCCTTTGCTTGCATCAGGGTATCCCAAAATAGGTGTTTTGCACAGACTTTCCTTGAGCTCCTGGAATGCGATATTGCAACTTTCATTCCAGCAGAAATGTCCCTTCTCCTCGGTTAGCTTGTGTAGAGGTTTGGCTATATCTGCAAAGTTTTTCACAAATCGCCGGTAGTAGGAACACAAACCCAAAAATGCTCTAACCTGTGTCTTGTCTTTTGGAACCGGCCAATCCTTGACAGCGGCGATTTTCTCTGGATCCGTGCGGATGCCCTCTTCCGATACTACATACCCCAAAAAGTTAACTTGCCGTTTGAATAGTGAACATTTCTTCGGACTCAACTTGAGGTTGGCACTCTGAATCTTCATGAGCACGCGTTCCAGGTTTTGAGGGTGTTCTTCAAACGTACGACCTACGATGATGATGTCATCCAAGTAGACCAGACAGGCATCGCCAATTAGCCCGGTAAGTACAAGTTCCATCAGCCTTTCAAACGTTGCTGGAGCATTGCACAACCCAAACGGCATTACTTTAAATTGCCACAGACCCTTTCCCGCCGAGAACGCAGTTTTCTCCTTGTCCTTAGGGTCAATTTCAAAACACCTTGCTTAACGTTGATCTCACAACAATTATTCCTCATAAAGTCTAGGCCCAGGATGCAGTCGTCCATTATGTCAGCCACGATGACATTATGCAGGTAGATCACGTTGCCTAGCTTTAACTCCATCTCCTTCTCTCCACGGACGTGTATACGCTGACCGGTGGCTGTTACCAAATTAATGCGTTCTCGGTTGTATGCGGAGTCCCCAAGGAACTGACTTATAAGTTGGGAACTAACAACCGTACGAGAGGCTCCAGTGTCTATGGTCAGTTTACACGGCATTCCGTTGACCTCGCCCTTGATGATTAGACTGTTCCCATCATGGGTTTGTGAGATCGAGATCCTTGGGGCTCCTTTAACATCAGCCAGCACCCGCCCCACAGTTCTGGCTTTTACTCGTTTCCCTGCTGCTGCTGGGCGGTGCTGTTGGCCGCACTACCCTACTGAGATCGTTCACCTTCCCTTTCTAGGGTTCGCTTAGGGCAGCTGGATCGAAGATGGCCCCTTTCCCCACAGCCATAGCACCTAGGGCTGTATCCTTTGTTGCGGTCGCGAACTGTTGCTGCTGCAACCTCCCTGACGCGATAGGAACGATGATCCTTTCGCACGGCTTCCACCTCCAGTGCATGGGCCAAGGCGTCCTTAAGCGTCTCGTGGTGCCCGAGCCTCACGGCAGCTCTGACCTCCAGGTCGCAGATGCCGTCGATGAATGTCTGCACCAGGTTCCCTTCAATGAGCGCAGGTACAGACCGGTATGCTTTTCGCACCAGCTTCTCCATCTCTAGAGCCCACTGCTGCCGATTTTCGTTGATGCGCTGCACGCGATCTTTAAGCTGCGCACGAAAGACGTGTTCCAGGTGAGCGTCGCCATATCTTGCCTCCAATGCCTCAAAGAGTTGCTCATAAGTCACTTTCTCACCGAGAGCTTCCAGAACTGTTAAGGCCTGGTCGCGTAGGCCTAGTGTGAGAGCAGTCATGACCTGACTTTTATTCCAGCCATTCGCCTTCATAACAGCTTCGAACTGGATTTTGTAGGCCGACCAGGAAGAAGTCCCGTCGAACGGTGGCACCTTGAACCCACGTAGCGAAGGTGTTGCAGCTACTACGGGAGCTGTAATTCCATCCCCCAGTTTGAGGTCATCCAGCGTTTTCTTCACGTCAGCCACCACGTTGTCAACCCGATTTTTCACTTGGTCGATTCGGGTTTCAGCTTTCTCGATTCGGGTTTCAGCTTTCGCGATTTGGGTTTCAGCTTCCGACAGGCGGTTATCATGCTGAGCAACCCTATCCTTCACCTCGTTTATCTCCTTCCCGAAGGTAGCGTGAAGGTCCTTCATGAGGAGCATCTGCTCTTCCGACCGACGGGCCTGTTCATCCTGTCCGCTCTGCAGCTGCTCTTTCAACTGACGGACCTGTTCCTCCTGTCGGCGGGCCTGTTCATCCTGTCCGCCCCGCAGCCGCTCTTCCAACCGACGGACCTGTTCCTCCTGTCGGCGAGCCTGCTCCTGCAGCATCACCATCAGAGCACCTAAGTCAGGTGCTGCAGATGTAGGAGCTACTGACGTGCCTGCAGCCGGTGGCTGGCCCTACGACATCTGCGGCGTTGCACCACCAAATCTTCTTTGGTCCGTCTCCTGCTGGCGTTGACTTCGGGTACGGACAGCCTCCGTTTCCTCCTTAGGTAAAATCTTAAAAAAGCTTGAGGTTCGTGACAATAAAAATTGCCGATAGAATTACCTAAATTAACACTTTAATTTTCTTTACACAAATTAAAGTTAAAAATACTAATAATTAATCACACTGATTCACTTTATTCCGCTCCGAAGTTTCGCTTGTCTCGCCAAATTCAATACTTCCCCGATCGCATCTTGCAGCGCCTATAAATATAAATTAGCACCGAAATATCCAGAATATTCAAGTAAACACGCGCAAGGTACCGAGATTTCGAGTTTCAACTTCAAGAAGTTTAGTTCTTCGGTTCGAGACTAGATGGCGCTAGTGACGTCGACTTACGCGCGTAACACTATTTAAAAATTTGGGCGTATTTCTTACGCGATAAATTGTAGCGAGAGCGCGTGGATGTACAGGACCGAATGCTCAAGGTCGTTCGCTAGGAGTAGCGCCTTAATGTAATTTTTACCAACTTGTGGACGGCCCATTCATTGAAAAAAAAATAATGCCCAAAATGAATGGACACCGTCCCCACCCTTGCAGCACTTTAAAACCTATTTCAATCGAAGGGCCATAGCCATCTTATCATTTTACTGTTTGACATCGAAACTGAAATGTCCGTTCCAAAAAAGTTATATCGACATGAAGAAACAGAAATCAGTAACAATTATGTTGCCGTTTTATGTACTTTTTCGACATGATGAAACCTAAAAACACCTACTACGTCAGATTTTGGTTAGAGGTAAGCATGAATGTTTCCGCCGCGCGTGCAATATTTTTATCAGACTGACTTTTTATCCATACATCACAAAAGATATTTGAAGGACAATGCAATTCCACGTAAAAATTGTATACATAACAGCACCGATAAGTGTAATCCTATGAAAAGGATTAATTCCTAAGGATAATGTGATAGCTCGAAAAAACGAGGCTACAGATGACAGCACTGAAGAAGATATAATCTCGAAGCGTAGTAATATCTCATAAGCTGTATTATATATTTAACTCATATAACACTATAATACACAATAGGATGGCTGTCAACTTTATTTTGTACGAGGACCGGTGTCGCCGAGAGCACACATACAAGCAATTACGTCGTATTATCACTACTATACAAACCCGATTCGCTGTGTTAACAGACTGAGCGAATTTACAGATTTTAGACTTTTGATTAATGTTCAAGATCATCATTAAAAAAATCGTTTAAATTGTAATACATATTTATTTGTAAATAGTGTGCAATTTGGCATTTTCTAAATGATTTGCATGCAAAATTTGGAAATGATTGTAATGTTAAAACACATTTCGTGTTGACATTTATACATGTGAATTGACATGTTGAAGTGACTACACGGGCTCCGCCCACTCCCCCGTTCTATTAAGTATGTATTATAGTATTCTATGATTTAACCTAATGGAATATCCTATAAAAAATCATATGTAAAACATAATATTTGAAAAGTATACCAATATTCTATATCATTTCTTGTTGGAAATCTGAGCTGCTAAAAATACCAAACGGCAATTGTTAAACATATATTTTTCCAATGTTAACGTAAAAAAAAAACATTTCAAAAATATCAAAAACGTGCTTTGAAAATTTTCGGCAAACATAAAAGTTAGCAAATGTCTACTAGATGGTTTAATGATTACTATAACAAACTTTTTAATAAATTTTATTATTCCGTAAAAACTATTTTATTATGAAACCAAGTACGTACCGCCTTCTTAATAGAACAATAATTATTTTTAGTTACTTTTGTATTTGTTGCAACGGATTGCAATTTGCTTATGTTAAACAACTTAAGCAAATAGGTCAACTTATTTTAAAGGCAACTAATAATAAAGATATACAAATTTAAAGAAATATATGAATACTAGCATTCGTCCGCGTGGAAGTCGGTCCGCCGCAATCTCTATAGTTAATTTTGAGGATAAAAGTTAGCCTAGCCTTTTTAAAGTTTCCAGCTATCTGAATACCACATATTGTCAAAATTTGTTGAGTTTTTTTCTCCAAGTTTGTAGTTTAACAGTCAATAATGACCAAATTTGTAAAGCCTACTTAGCTGTGATAGTTTACCTTTTTAACTAAACCAGACATCAAACTACATCCATTTTATCAAAATCAATTCAGCAGTTTAAGTCATGAAAGCTGGACGGATTTCCGCATTAAATAGAAAAGTATGGATTATCTTTCTGCAATACATTTTGGCAGCGGATTATATTTTTGTATTATATTTTCTTTTCTGAAGTATTATATATTTATATATACAACATGTAACAAAAACCCTGTGGTATCCGTTAACTGCGTTATCAGAATCAGTATTCAAGCGTATGGAAATATTTTTTTCAAAAAAAACGCATTTAAAAAAATTAATTTTAATGAAAAAAAATTAATTTGCAAATTGTATGTGGTTTTATTATCTCTGCATTGGCCGAGGAGTAAGAGGATTGTCAAAGACCACGCATTACTGATATTCGTGTGAGTTAGAGGAAAGAAAACCACATACAATTTGCAAATTAATTTTTTTCATTAAAATAAAAAAAATTAAATGCGTTTTTTTTGAAAAAAAAATATTTATATACGCTTGGCTACTGATTCTGATAACACACTTAACGGGAATCACAGGGTTTTTGTTACATATTGTATATGAACATAATTTGAAATTATCCCGAAAATTAAAAAAAAATTTTAACCGTAAAATGTACAAAGATACGTATTTGAGCATACAAAACGTATTTTCATACAAAACTTATTGAGATGTTTACATTTAAAAATATTATTGAAATATTTCAACTAAAGTTTTACCTGTGGTTTCCGGAAAATCACTAAACAAGACTACATTCCTAGCTGTGATGCCATTACATACTATAGTTTGCTTAAATGCACAGACTAATATGATGCTACTCATCTTAAACAGGTTCAAAAAGAAAAATTTTTAGAATAAGGGACGACAAACGAGCACACGGTCCGTCTGATGGTAAGTGGATGCTGTGGCCCATAGACGTCTACATTAATCCTCGATTAAGAATCAAAACGCAGATGCGTTGTCACCCATGAGGACTAAGATGGAATACCTCATTTCCAGTAAAATGGATCTCCGGTTCTCTACACTCACCATACGAAACATACGTAAGCTGTGAAATCGTGGTCCATCCCCGTTCGAGTCGACCTATTCGTGCTACAACCATACAATTTATAAAGCTGCAGCATAGCTCTACCATGTTTAACTTTCGGGTAAACAATTTGATTTACACCAACTCTAAAATACAAATAAAATACTGGCGAACATTAACTTACCAACAACGAAATTCACTTTTTTTTCAAACCTGGCTGTTTCTTTACTAACACTTTTTTGGGGGGAATTCAATATCATTTTCACAACTTTCAACGTCAGGTATTTTGTCAATTCATGGTGTATTACAATTCTGGAACCAATTTTTAAAATTTTTTTGGTATTGTGATAAAACTTCGGCACACTCCTCGGCAATTTTATCGACTTCTTCATTATTTTCTGCAACTACAATTATAATTAATTTTATTTCACGCAGATAAACATTTAGCTCATTTATTATTTATTTACAACAGCCTGTCTGTCCATCCAATTAAAATGTGGGTGTTTTTAAAGTGAATAGGAATAACATACAGAAATACCAGCAAGGGTCCAATTGTGAATCTAAACCTTTCTCGAATGAACTGAATCACACACACAAAATTTTATCAAAATCGATCCAGCTGTTTAGGAAGAGTTCACTCTCATACATATTGTTGCGCGCCTAAGTTGATGTCTGGCACCTGGCACTAGCGCCATTTAGTTTCGGGGAACAGAGCGAGGAGGGCTTCCTAGAAAATTTATGTTAATCTGGACTTTCGGCCAACAGCGCCATCTAGTATCGAACAGAAGAATTAAGCTTTCTAGAAGGGTCCACTCTCGATCTTTGTCGTAACAATATGGACAGAAGAAATATATATATTTTATATTTTATATATATATCATTTGGCGAAATCGCGAGGGGGCGGAATATATATATACAGTATAAACTCTATATAACGACAACCAAGGGATTGTTCATGTTACGACGTTATAGAAAGTTGTCGTTAAATAGAACGAAGAAAAATCTGTATTAGAAAAAGCCCAAAAACTGAATCCAAAGCGTCTACCAACATCACTTATCCTCTCTCCCGCCTCTATTACGTGTAACAGTAACTCTTTTTCGTCAATACACAGTGATTTTCTCTTATTGCCACATTTACAGTTTGAAAGTCTGTGAGCAACTAAAAATATGATAACGTATAGATAATCCGTGATTCCTATTAACAACAGCCCACACGTACAAGCAATCCCAATTTGTAAACAAAACAACGGATTTCTTAGAGTTTGGTATGTAAGGTGCCGGTAGTCGAGCTTATTACGGACTAGGATAATAAAGCAACAAAAAAATGTACACAGCTAAGCAGTTTTTACTAATTTTTGCAACCTAAAAAGTACTTTTTATTATTTAATTGTTCTCGTTATTGAAAGTGGATGTAATGCTATATAGAGTGTATCATTGTATGGAAAACAAGCTAAAAGAAACAAAACCGATTGATTTTGACGCCTTAGAGAGCTTGACGTTAAATCGAGTAATGTTATATGGAGTTTACACTGTATTTAACATGTGCGGTATATATATATATATATATATATATATATATATATATATATATATATATATATATATATATGTGTTGTCCATATATATATAACTAGCTGTTCCCCAATGCTGTTCAAATGATATATATATATAATATATATTTCTTCTGTTCGATACTAGATGGCGCTGTTGGTCGAAAGTCATGATTGACATAAATTTTCTAGGAAGCCCTCCTCGCTCTGTTCCCCGAAACTAAATGGCGCTAGTGCCAGGTGCCAGACATCAACTTAGGCGCGCAACAATATGTATGAGAGTGAACTCTTCCTAAACAGCTGGATCGATTTTGATAAAATTTTGTTTGGTATATATATATATATATATATATATATATATATATATATATATATATATATATACCTAGCTGTTCCCCCCTTCCTCGCGACTTCGTCCGAGTAGAATTTATTACGATTGTGGGTTTTAATTTTTTTGCGTGAAATCCTAGCTCTTTTTCTTAAATAATAGGAGCCTAAGTTACTGTTTATAACATTAGCTATCGGCCAAGTGAAACTCCCGTCACCATCGGTACAGCCGTTTCGGAAATTAGCCGGAACACACACAAAAATTTTAAAAATTGTTTTTGTTATGTTTTTTTTGGTTAAGTACGGTATATACTTTCATATGTATTTACATTTAGTAAAAAAAAATGTTATTTTGACATTACAAGCAGACACTTTAATTTTATTTATTTGTATAGAAAATAAAGAGTAAAGAGATATATCAGTTGTTGTTTTTTTTGTCTTGTTGTTAGCCAGTGTAAAGTTCACATAATCCAACTCTCCTATGCTAATCAAGACTGCAGTAAGATGGGCATCATTTAGAGTAAATGCGGCCTTGTTACAAATGAAAGCTTTTCAATTCTATTACTTCTTAGGGAAATATCAGGTATCCATTGAATTTGTTACAAGGATTCGGAATGTATATAAAAATACAGCTCTCTTGATTAAGACATAGCCCAACGGATTAGTTTAAGTGGCAATAGGCAGGTTATATAGCTCGAAGAACCTATGACGGACGGGGAAGAAACTTCTTGAAAGGCTACCAGTAGACTAAGTGTGGAGCGGCCCCCCGCTAAATGAAGTGACTACCTAGTAAGACAGCCAGGAATCAATGGATGCACGTGGCTCAGGACTGTGTTCTGTGGCATTCCTTGAGGGCCTAAGTTTAGTAGTGGACTTGCGAAGGGCTATATGATGAATTATGATTAGGAAGGCAGAAGTAAAAAAGTTTTAATGTAGACTTAAGTTGCGAAGTGCATGGGCTTAGCGTCACGCACTAAACGGTCATATTTTCAAAGTAATTTTAGGAAACTGAAATTCTACACTAAAAAATTCCAGTTATGTAGGTACAGTGCAAATGCTATAATAAGGTACCATTGTTTTTACAAGCATATATTAATCATGGGAAATTACAAACAGTTCCTTGTACAGGATATGCATAGTGAAAGATGAAACAGTGGCTACAGTTCTGATGGTCTACATTTTTTTATGAGGAAATGCTTAAAACCACCCGCCTTGCGATGATACGATAATGGACCGGTTATGTCGGTCGCACGACTAAATCCCCATGGTGGTTCACCTTCTCCACATATTGGGTGGGTCAGCGCCAGTGACCCTATGTCCCTCATCAATTGAGGACAACTCCCATTCACCTCCTAATGTAAGGCACTACAACACAAGGCGCGCGCCTCCTCGGCCTCCAATTTAATGTTCAACCTAACCTAACTGCGCAATGGACTCTCCTGAGCCCAGTACACGTAGGCCAGGAAAAACGAGCAACCCATGAACTCCAGGTAGGGAGCGTGATGACTCGCAATACGCGCGACATGCAGCCCTCTCCCACTGCGACCACACTACTACCCGCATCAAGTGTGCGGCTCTGGCTGCGGGACACAGCGAAAAGTGAACTCAGTCTTGCGCACGGATGGCTTCTGCATTATAATCACCAACAATCTAAAGTTCCCTCTCGCTTTGAATGGCTTTGGGTTTTATCTACTAATCAACTAGTTTTCCTACACAAAAATCGATTCATTATAAACATATAGTCAACCAAATTTAAAGAATACCTTTTGACGTTTCATATTAATCATTCTACAATAACTTTGCACAAGCGTGCTCACACGATTTAAAATAACTTTTTACGTAAATCCGAAGAATTATAAAGTTATCCTTATTTCTTTACAACGTGTATAGTTTTTATCACTAATTTAAATTTGAAAATCTTTCAAACAAACATAATATTAAAAAATAACCCGTATCAACTTTTTTTACTTGACGTTGTTTCAATGATATGTCGCTATTTACATTACCGAAGTGTTTGGATGATTAAAATTCATTGTTATGTGAATAATAGGTAAAAATATTCAAATAATCGAATCATTAATTTTTTTAATATATTACAGTGGATTACATTAATAACGACCTCGGTTGTAACGACTTTTCGGTTATAGCGACGTCAAACTTACGTCCCTTGAATTTAAAGCATACTTTCGTAAGAAATTCATTCGGTAATAGCGACTTCGGTTATAGCGTCAATTTCTGGGTATACGACTTGTTTTTATGAACCATTTATGACCGATTCCTAGAAATCCCTTGTGGATATTGCGACTGAGTCGGCAAAGGCACAAAGACTCATTCATAAAACTAAGCTTTCTTATCCTTTGTTTACATTCACAGATGGTCAAACTAATGCTTTGTTTGTATGTAGGACTACGTAGCACGTTTACGAAGTTAAATTTGTGAATAGTTACATAGAAATTCCAGTGAGTAAACAGTGTTTCTTAAACTTGTGAATATGGCTCCTAGACGTACATTTACTGTTAAAGAAAAAGTGGACATCATTTCGAGACTGCAAAATGGACAAAACAATGTTGATCTGTGTAAACAATTTGGAGTTTCACATTCTACAATATCAACGATGTGGAAAAACCGCGCTAAAATTATGGAGTGTTTTGAATCATCATCATCAATCATCCCTGAAAATAAAGAAAAATCACAAAACACCCGTGTATAACTTAATTAAATAAATGATAAGTAAATATGTACATGACTTTTTATTATTTCGGATATAGAGACCTCCGGATATAGCGACGACATTAAAGTGGTCCCTCCGCCGTCGTTATAACCGAAATTCACTGTATTTGTTTAATTTCATTTTTGTTTTTAAAATTCCTTTAATTACATGAATCATAAATAAAACAAGTTTATTTTTTTAAATTTGTCAATGTAAATTTGTGTAGGCAAAAAAACTCATATACAAGGCCGCCCTGAACCACTGAAACCACCACTTATTTTCAATATCCACCATTTCGGGAGCTTACTGTGCGTAATTTGTGATTTCGTGTTTGTCTTCTTATTTTGTGACTTAGCTTTAACTTTTTGGACTGTTTCTTCTAAAATCGTTGAATGAAATGCATGTGCCCATGTCACAATTGATCATTGGGCAACAGTGGTAGAAAAAAACAACAAACAATTATTATGGATGACTGATAGAGACATTAATTTTGACTGCATTATTGAAAAATAAATAATAATTAATCTAAACAATAAGCTCAACTAGTTGTACCAAAAGTGATTGAATAAATTTATTTTTAATCAAGTAATCTTAAATTTTTATAACTGTGCCTCTAGAAATAAGCAGTAACAACAAATATGTAGAAACTGATAAATTTTGTTTTTTTAATTATTCGTTTTTAATTTATTCTGGTATTATTCAAACCCAACTTTAAATGATTACCAATTCTAAATAATCAATATCGATTTTTTTAAGAATCGGTTTTTGTACATTCCCATTTTTAGATTGGCATGCCTGGTGCAATAAATCTGACAGCTGTCAAAATGTATTTCTTAGATTTGATTGACTATAATAACATAGACACCCACGCCTGTCACCCAGAGGGGTAGGCAGAGATTACAGACTTCCATTTGGCATGATCCTTACACACCTCTCTCACCTCCTTCACATCCATATACCTTTGCATTACATGCTCGTAGGTTAAGGGTCATTTTCAATATATCGCCAATTTGATCGATAAACTTTCGTCTAGGATGTCCCTTTCCACTGTTTTGTTAGAACATAAATTTGCTTTGTCACTCATTATCCCTCATTCATTCTTTCTACATGAACAAACCACCAAAGCATTCCTTTCTTAATCCTCATCACAACATCATCTTGCAAACCAAACTCTTCTCTTATCACACAATTTCTCACCCTGTCACTCAGATTCAGCCCTAACATAATATATATTATAATATAATAACTCCTTAACAACTGCATTTCTTCTGCGTTTATTCTAGTTTTGTGCTTCTTCTGCCACACCCAACTTTCACTACCATACATTAACATAGAGACTAACACAGCATTGTGATGATTTCTTATATTTACGCGAACACTATACATTGATTAAAACTACTTTTACGGATTTTATCGCGTTTTATTTATATTAATTTTAATACCCGACGTTTCGGGTGGTTTCCAGCACCCATGGTCACGGGGGACCGAGGTGACTGACGTCCCGATGTCAAAGTTAACCCGGATTATTAAAAAGCTGAAGGTACTCAGGGTTAACTTTGACATCGGGACGTCAGTCACCTCAGTCCCCCGTGACCATGGGTGCTGGAAAGCACCCGAAACGTCGGGTATTAAAATTAATATAAATAAAACGCGATAAAATCCGTAAAAGTAGTTTTAATCACAGCATTGTGAATTGTCATCTAAACAAAATTATTTAATTAATTCATTTATTACATACTATCAAAAGTCTACTGGTAAATGCCTCCGTCATAGATTGCCTAGGTGAAGATGGTTAGAAAATTAAAGGTTTTTGGATGATTTACGAAACGGTGTTTTAGATCGATCCAAGAAATCGATTCCTTATCGCCGAATAATCCATCTCAGATTATACCTCAAACTTTAAAAATATTTACGTGTAAAAAGCCACTAGTATGTACATTAGCATTGTTATTCATGGATCAGGACCAAAATCACCAACGAAATTGTGCTACAAAATACTAAAGCCAGCCCTTGAAAACTTACCCTCTTCTTTTACATTTATTTGCATGTCATCTAAGAACTTGATGAAAGACTTCTCACTTGCTACAACTTTATATTTGAATTCTTTTGCATCACGCAGTTTTCCAATGCAGTTTTCACAAATTAGTCGACTGTATCGGCTCGGTCCTCCATACTTTTGGTATGAAATCTGAAATATTTATTGTCTTCAAATTAATGAAACAATGATTATTAAGGTTGTTAGCATTTTTTTGGTTTGTAGTATTGTATACAATATTTTTTGTATGTGTGTTTGGTTTCGGACTGTACAAACTTAAAAGGGAGGAAGTTTACTCTATTGTATCAATAAAAATATTCTACATGTGCGGTCGGAGCCACCTCCAAGCTAGTTAGAATGGAAGTAAGATTGCAAATGAAATATAGAAAACATGAGTAGACGGGGATTTCCCTTTCGCTTGGCATTCACACGTCAGACAAAAGGGAAATCCCCGCACTGTGTCCGCGCAATCCTTTGAGGGTTGTGTTTTACGGGAAAATATACTTAAATTAAATAATAAAATTAAAAAATCCAAAAAATCATGATTAATTAGGATTTTTTTAAATCATATTTATTCGATTTTTTTTAAAGAAATCATGATTTTTCCAACCCCGTTAGAGAGCCGGACTACATTGCATGATCAGTATTTTGTGTATAAGTAACCCAAAATTTGCGAGAAACACCAGCATTTTTAAAATGAGTGGAGTGTACAAGAAGAGGTGAATGTTATTGTGAGAATTTTCCATAAATATATAGGAAGTGAGGTTCGAAGATCAAATAATTCAGCCTATCAAATTCCAAAGAAATTTAATTAGCCCAAGATTTCTAGACTTTCTAAATAATTAATTTCGGGAATTATTTTCAAAATTGCCATTGTCATATCACTAACTAATAAGGCTACATTTAGATGGAGCTTCACCACATTTTTACCCAAGCAGTTAGGAGTCACCTAGACATCACCCACAGTGGCTTGATCGCGGCTGTCCAGTAGCCTGGCCACCGCATTCAATAGACTTAACGCCACTGGACTTTTATCTTTGGGGTTGGATGAAGTAAACATTTAATTTGAGCCAATCAGCAACAGGGAAGAGCTGCCAGAGTGTATTCACGATGCTGCAGCAGAAATTAAGGCTGATCCCAACCAGTTCAGACGGTCAATGCAGCAAGTGGCGATCCGTGCCACTTTGTTCCTTCAAAATGGTGGGGGGCATTTTGAACAACTTTTGTAATTTCTTGTGTATAAATTTACCTGTTATTTGTTTGTCATTGATCACTGTAAATGTCTACAGAGAAGCCAAATCATTATGAACTTACTACATGTGTAAGCTTTTGTTCCAACAATAATCTCTTAAACCGTCATATTGTTATCTGAGTTACCTAACCCATTGTTTATACTTTTGGTTGCTAAAAGGTTATGAAACAGTAACAGAACCAGATCTAGATCTTTTAAAATTCTATATGCTATTGTGAAAGAATTTAGTTCTCCTAGTTTCTATTCCCGTTTACACGGAATGGGTTATTCGGGCTAGGCCAAGGTTGAATTTCTTATAAAGTTAAGGCAACAAGCAGCATTACCAGCCAGACACAACCAATTTTAAGGAAATAATGCTACAGATGTATTGTCGCCCACAGAAAATATGTTCACCTAGCTAAAGTTAGGATAAGGTATAGTTCTCTGTGCGAATGTGGTTTAGATGAGGGAAACACTAATCACATATTTTTTAACTTCACTATATTGTCATCATCTCTATACAATTGTCTGCCCCTGAAATCCCTCGCCCGTAGACTTCAACTCCCTTCTAACCTTCACAAATACCTCTTTTGTATATATTTTAATATTTTATAAACTCAAATAACATTAAACTATAATTTTTTTGTCAGATTATCATAAAATAACACATTAAATATTATCCTAACAGCATTAAATGAAATTGTTAGTTGAAATTTTAAGTGCTGATTTACCACATGCTTGGCTTTAAAGGAAAACATTGTAAGGAAACCTGAATGTCTGAGAAATAAGAAAAAATATTTTAAAGATGTGAAGTTTACCAACATGCATTGGGGCAGTGTGGCGGGGTGGACATTTCCTTGGCCTAAAACTCTTTTAGAAATGAGAGGCCATTGTCAGCAGTGACAGTGGCAGTGTTACAAAAGTTGATTTAGTAAAAAATTGACCCTGTTTTGCAAGTCTTTAACTTCATTTTAAATAGTTTTATGTCAAGATTCTAATGAATTTGTATTGTATGAAGCACTCCAAATGAATTCCAAACAGACACATAATTTCATCCTTGAGTAATGTCTCCCTGTAATATTTCACAAGTTCCATCATATAGTTATCATTATTCAAAAAAGATTTAACCAAAAGCCAAAAAGTGGCTAATACTTCGAATATGGACCATCGATTTCAAAGCCCATATTTTTTTGTAGATAGCACTCACTAAATTTGGAGAAAAATTCTACCCTGAGGATAGAAAATAGGGAAAGCTTTTATTGCAATTCTTAGACATGATAAAAATAAAAAAATATATATAAGATGAAATTATGATTTTTTTTAACTAAAATACCTATTTAACCGGTTTACTTTTTAATATACGTACTTCTAAATTAAAAACGTCTTTCAATATTTCTTCATAGACTTCTTTTTTTCCTGAGATGAAATATTCAGTGGAAATATCTTTGTAACAACCTTCTGCAAGGCAACAACGGCACACATTTGTTATTGGAAAGGTTTTTTCGATGCTGTTTTCATTAAAATTATCCATTTTAACTAATAAATACTGAACTTAAGCAAAGAAACTATGAAATGCAATAAACAGAGCACAATAATTTATTAGTTTATTACAAAATACAAATTAGAAGGCGTCAATAACTTCAAATCAAAATCATTGACAAAAAATAATATCAACAATAGGGATGTTCGATGATCATCGATGTTAGAAATTAATTAAGACATCGATGTTTTAACCTCGATGTTGCCACATGTTAAACATTGTAACATCGGTGTCAATTAACCAATAATCGATTAATAAGAACTTGTAAACAATGCGAACCCGTGAAATCAATACCAACTAAATATTTCATCTCCAATTAAAGATTTAAAAATTGAATAAGTCAGGATTCCTAAATGCATCGATCATCTAAACAAACTTCATTATGTTGTGTCAAATTCCCTATCAAGTGTAAAATGTAATGCTTTCTAGGCACGTCGATCTAAAATCGATTAATCGAAAAATCGATTCTTTGGAGCAAAATAATTTTTTGGATCGATTTGGAGCAGCGCATCGATTCACTGAATCGATCCAAAAACCTCTCGAATCGGACCGATTCATCTGATTCTAGAACCAGCGATAAAATTCCCAAACTGGCTGGGGTAAGATATCGCAGTTTTTTAATTTTTTGCTGTTGGGGGACGCAAAAACAACCGATCTTACTTGGTTGGATAATTTGAACGCAATATACAAAACGTAACATAATTAACGCACTTTGAAAAAGTAGTTTGTTCAGAATTGTTTACTGAATCGATTCCTATCATTTTTAATATAGGTAATTTTTTATCCCAAAAATAATTAAAACTACGTAAATTACAGTCACACTAAATCTGTACAGTCAAAACAAAATGAAATAGACCGTAACTTAAGACAATAAGACTTTTAAGAGTGCACTTTTATTTGTATTATTACTAATTCTGTCATTCAATAAAAATAAAGAAAATGAACTTTATTTCAAGCACGTTAAAGTCTTTGCGTTCGTGAATTTGTACTGTGACCACAACATTCTTCCGGAATTAGTATAACTAATTTGATAAATAATCAGTGCATAAAAATGTTTAACTAAAAATTCAGTGTATGTATTATAACATAATATTATACTGATTGGGGTGTCTGAGGGTGTGCGTTAATTACGTTACATATTGTATATTTGAATAAAATAAATATTTATGAATGCATCCAACAATATCGAAAAGTTGTCATTTCATTTTCATTTCTAAATTTCTAATTCTATTCTTACCCGTGGAATGTTGGTCTAACTTAATCTGTGCTGTGAACAAAACTACATATACATACTACAATTAATATTATAGCTGTAAACCTGTTTGAACTGTGAACTTGCGAATTTACTTTATTATCAAAAACATACATACTGTGAGCTGTAAGTACAGACGGAGTACTTTCTATATATCTAGATGCTGTAAATAAATATTATATGTTGAAGTTCATAAAGGTTTATAGTAAGGAAATAACCAGTATTGTGTTCATGTAGCATTCCTTTCAATTTGATAAATAGTGAGTTAATAGATTGAAATAGATTGATCGAGAAATGTATGTTGCAATTTGCCCTTTTGTCAAAGTATTGTTGTTGTTTTTAGCCTAAAATGTCAAATAAAAGTGATACATGGAATCACTTTGTAAAAAACCGGCCAAGAGCGTGTCGAGCCACGCTCAGTGTAGGGTTCCGTAGTTTCCCGTCCGTCGCAATAAGTGTTTCCACCTATGAGTTTAAAGGTGCAGTACCGGGTAGTGCTGTACCCACTATCGGGAGCAGTTGCAGGAGCGCGGAGCGCTTCTGCAACTTCTCCCGGTAGTGGGTACTATTGTTTCCATCCAAGTTCAAAATGATTTTCCTAGAAAGTCCTTATAAAGTTCTACTTTTCAGATTTTTTTAGGGACACATTGTTTTTTACTTTTGGAGCGATTATTTCCGAAATTATTGACATTATCAAAAAATGATTGTAGTAAACCCCTATTCATTTTTAAATACCTTTCCATCAATATATCACACGTTAGGGTTGAAATTAAAAAAAATCACTTCCCACTTTACATATAGGGGGCTACCCTAATAAAACATTTTTTCCAATTTTTATTTTACCACTTTGTTGGCGTGATTGATACACATATTGGTACCAAATTTCAGCTTTCTAGTGCTAACGGTCACAGAGATTAAGCGAGGACGGACAGACGGACAGACAGACATGGCGAAACTATAAGGGTTCCTAGTTGACTACGGAACCCTAAAAAAAGGATCGAGTGGCGAACCACCCCTAAAACAAGCGTTTCAAGCTTACCAGGAGAGGTTAAAAGGAATATTAGTAATTTTAATTTATAAGATTACTAATATTTTAATTTCAAAAAATATTAAAGTTTAATTAAAGAAAAAATCGCAAATTCTTGAAATTTCATGTTTGAATATGTCGCGATTAATCGAAAATCGATCTTTTAATCCTCGATTTAATCGATAATCGATTCTAGTATCTTCGATTCGAATCGATTCAGAGATCGATTTTTTTAAGAGTGAATCGACATGCCTAATGCTTTCGCTTTGTTATTCTGTGGTTTCGTTGCCGGTTATCGCCTAATAACTATTAATTTAATTTTCCGGCTTTAATCATATTTTTTATTTCGCGATAGGAGTAGATAATACAAAACCTAACATACCAAATTTTTGATTGTATAGGAACATTTAAAGATTTAATTAATAAAATTCATCATTATCGGCACAAAATATAGCAAATTAACTAAATATTATATAGCTTAGTTTTCACCATTTTTAGGGTTCCGTAGTCAACTAGGAACCCTTATAGTTTCGCCATGTCTGTCTGTCCGTCTGTCCGTCCTCGCTTAATCTCTGTGACCGTTAGCACTAGAAAGCTGAAAATCAATCACGCCGACAAAGTGGTAAGATAAAAATTGGAAAAAAATGTTTTATTAGGGTAGCCCCCCTATATGTAAAGAGCGAAGTGATTTTTTTTTTTAATTTCAACCCTAACGTGTGATATATTGTTGGAAAGGTATTTAAAAATGAATAGGGGTTTACTAAAATCATTTTTTGATAATGTCAATAATTTCGGAAATAATCGCTCCAAAAGTAAAAAACAATGTGTCCCCCCCCCCCTCTAACTTTTGAACCATAAGTTTAGAAAATATGAAAAAAATCTGAAAAGTAGAACTTTATAAGGACTTTCTAGGAAAATTATTTTGAACTTGGATGAAAACAACAGTACCCACTACCGGGAGCAGTTGCAGGAGCGCGAACATAATGGATACCCACCTTTAAACTCATAAGTGGGAACACTTATTGTGACGGACAGGAAACTACGGAACCTTACACTGAGCGTGGATCGACACGCTCTTGGCCGGTTTTTATTTAAATTTGTGTTTGACTCTAAATGTTTAATAATTTATTTCGCTTCATTATAAATGAACCATAAACAACACCACAAATTTTTTGTTCATCTAATTTTAATCTACTATAGTCAAACAAATCTTAGAAATACATTTTGTCAGCTGTCAGACTTATTGCGCCAAGCATGCCGACTAAGAAATAGGAACGTACAATATTCGATTCTTAAAAAAATCGATATAGATTATTTAGAGTTGGTAATTATTTACAGTTTGGTTTGAAAAATACCTAAATAAATTAATAACGGATAATTTAAAACACAAGATTTATCAGTTTCTTCGTATTTGTTGTTACTGCTTATTTCTAGAGGCAACGTTATAAAAATTTAAGATTGAAACTAGATTAAAAATAAATTTATTGAATCGCTTTTAGTATAACTAGTTGAGCTGTGGTTGTTTAGATTAATTCTTATTTGATTTTCAATAATGCAGTAAAAATTAATGTTCCTTTCAAAGTCATCCATAATCAATTTTTTTGTTTTTTCTACCACTTTTGCTCAGTCATCCTTTGTGACATGGGCACATGCTTCGACGAATATAGAAGAAACAATCCAAAAAGTTAAAACCGAGTTACAAAATAAGAAGACAAACATAAAATCACAAAATTACGCACAGTAAGCTCCCGAAATGGCGGGAGATTGAAATTACGTAGTGGGTTTTTCGGCGCGGCGTTGTATGAGTTTTTTTGCCTACTCAAATTTATTATATTTGCTTTTTTCATGATTCATGTAATTTAAGGAATTTTAAAAATAAAAATTTAATTAAACAAATAATAAATTAAAAAATTAATGATTCGGTTATTTGAATATTTTTACCGATTCTTTGAGTATTTTTGTCGATTATTCGCATAGCAACGAATTTTAATCATCCAAACACTACGGTAAAATACACAGCGACATATCATTGAAGCGGCGGCAAGTAAAAGAGTTGATACTGGTTAGTTTTAATATTTTGCTTTTCTTGAAAGATTCGAATTTAAATTAGTGATAAAAACTATACACGTGGTAATGAAATATAGATAACCTCATAATTCTTCGGATTTACGAAAAAGGTTATTTTAAATCGTGTGAGTACGCTTGTGCAAAGTAATTGCGGAATGATTAATGTGAAATGTCAAAAGGTATTTCTTAGATTTGGTTGACTATAAATAGATACATGTGCAACAACATCGATAATAGCCAACATCGATGTTTTGAGTAGGATAAACATGGAACACCGATGTTAAGCCATCGATATCAATATCGATGTCATCATCGATATTTCTGCAACATAGATCCATCCCTAATCACCAATAACCATAGATTTAACCATTAGCCATTACAATATTTAGAACCATGAAGGTTAGAGAACAGAACGATCGCCATAGAAAATAGTGTCCCAGAAATATGGACACCATGAGTGAGGCGCTGCAATCAATGTCAATAAAAGTCATTTTCAGTCTATTTTTCCGTTCAGATGCTGAACCACTTGCACATCCACGCACAATAAAATATTTCTCCATTTTTTAATGTTTTTTAATGTTAAAATTTTCTCATTAAAAATGAAATTAAAGTACATTATTCAACTAACTTCATCTACTTGTAATC